TTTTTGTCACCCCTCTTTCAATTTTAGTCGCTTCTCTTTCCATTTTCGCCTCCCCTCTTTCAATTTTTGTCCCTCCCCCCCTTCTTTCAGTTATTGTCTCCACTCTTTCAATTTTTGTCTCTCTCCCCCCCTCTTTCAGTTATTGTCTCCCCTTTAAACACAACGAGCTTATCTTCTTCTTCTTTCTTTGTGTTTGTGGCTCCGTCATTACCACCAAAACTTTGTGAACTTAAAGTAGTCTGTACGTCCGTTCAAGGGAGAATGCTGCGGCCTCAACGGGCCAGGCGACTTCAGCAAAGCCTCACTGAACGTCACGTTCAATGCGGGCATCAACCCATATGAGAACGTCACGATTCCCCGGTGGATAAGTGATAAATACCACATACCGTACGTCAACATGACCTACAAATCTGCGCTGAAGGTAAGTATGTCACAGAGCAGACGTGTCATTTTGGAACCCCCCCCCCTCTCTTGTAACTTTAACGCAATTTAAAAGCGAAGTGGCTATTCGTACCCGGGTACCAGAAGTGAGAGGTTGGGGTTAACAAACTATTAAAAATTGTATTGTTGGGTTTATGAGACAAAGTAACGTATCAAATGAAAGATAATTGAATGGACTATATGTTTATAAACTTAATTCTTCAGTTTAACTAAAACAAACTACCACAAATGACATCCGAATAGCACTGAGTCAAAATGGACCCAGACACGCAGCGCCGCCATTAGACTTTGATCAATGAAACAAAATTAGAGAATGCAATGACATTTTTTTCGAATTTGAAAATCTTAAAATTGTATTCCTTTATCCTAAATTATAAACGGGCCTCCTTGTTTGTTTTTAGTTACCTCATTGGTCTGACTTTGACATGCACATGCAACATGTCTCACTGTTTTCACACTCTACAAAGATTATAACCACATATCTTGTAAATCTATCTACAAACTCCATCTTCTTGTATGTTGTATGTGGTAAAATTATTTTTTTTTAAACGATATGTTTGATTATACGTTTGCCTTTGCGTGTGTAGGTACCGCCTGTGTGCTGTGACTCTAGCGTCTTTCAAACTCAGAACGAGCTGTTGCGGATCAACGAAGCGATCCATTGCGCAGCTCAGAGTCATTCAGCACACCTCAACAAACAGGTGAGTTGGTCGGCCCAGTCCAGCACGTCTCAACAAACAGGTGAGTTGGTCGGCCCAGTCCAGCACATCTCAACAAACAGGTGAGTTGGTCGGCCTAGTCCAGCACGTCTCAACAAACAGGTGAGTTGGTCGGCCCAGTCCAGCACATCTCAACAAACAGGTGAGTTGGTCGGCCCAGTCCAGCACGTCTCAACAAACAGGTGAGTTGGTCGGCCTAGTCCAGCACATCTCAACAAACAGGTGAGTTGGTCGGCCTAGTCCAGCACGTCTCAACAAACAGGTGAGTTGGTCGGCCCAGTCCAGCACGTCTCAACAAACAGGTGAGTTGGTCGGCCTAGTCCAGCACATCTCAACAAACAGGTGAGTTGGTCGGCCTAGTCCAGCACATCTCAACAAACAGGTGAGTTGGTCGGCCCAGTCCAGCACATCTCAACAAACAGGTGAGTTGGTCGGCCCAGTCCAGCACATCTCAACAAACAGGTGAGTTGGTCGGCCTAGTCCAGCACATCTCAACAAACAGGTAAGTTGGTCGGCCCAGTACAGCCCATTAATCCATACGGACCACCCAAGCTAATACAAGGACCACCCATGCTAATACACGGACCACCCATGCTAATCTACCATGATTATCAACATTAATCCACGCAGACCACTTATCTAATCCATTATAATTAACAATTAACGATTAACAACCTAATCGCAAACAGACCGTCCATCTTATCTACCATGATTATCACCATAATCCTCTCTCCCCCCCCCATTATCCCATCTTATCTACCATGATTATAAACATAATCCCCAATGGACCACCCATCTAATGTATTACCCGTCCTCAGGGTTGCTACATGTACTACTTTAAGACTTACATAGTGACTGGCATAAGTGTTGGCTTCTATACATCAATAGTTGTAGGGGTGAGTCTTGTTTTATACATCAATTGTTGTAGGGGTGAGTCTTGTTGTATACGTTAATAATTGAAGGGGTGAGTCTTGTTGTATACGTTAATAGTTGTAGTGGTGAGTTTTGTTGTATCCGTCAATAATTGTAGGGGTGAGTCTTGTTGTATAAGTCAATAATTGTAGGGGTGAATTTTGTTGTATACATCAATAGTTGTAGGGGTGCATCTTATTGTATAGACCAATAGTTTTTAGTGTGAGTCTTGTTGTATACATCAATGGTTGTAGGGGTGAGTCTTGTTGTACACATCAATGGTTGTAGGGGTGAGTCTTGTTGTACACATCAATGGTTGTAGGGGTGAGTCTTGTTGTACACATCAATGGTTGTAGGGGTGAGTCTTGTTGTATACATCAATGGTTGTATGGGTGAGTCTTGTTGTACACATCAATGGTTGTAGGGGTGAGTCTTGTTGTACACATCAATGGTTGTAGGGGTGAGTCTTGTTGTACACATCAATGGTTGTAGGGGTGAGTCTTGTTGTACACATCAATGGTTGTAGGGGTGAGTCTTGTTGTACACATCAATGGTTGTAGGGGTGAGTCTTGTTGTACACATCAATGGTTGTAGGGGTGAGTCTTGTTGTACACATCAATGATTGTAGGGGTGTTTCTTGTTGTACACATCAATGGTTGTAGGGGTGAGTCTTGTTGTATACGTCAATAGTTGTATTTGCGTTTTTGGCTTTTTGTTAGTTCAAGACAGTTAACTTTTCTAAAAAATAGTTAACAACTTTTATTACATTTTTTGACTCTTTAATTTCATCAATTGATCGAAATTATTGAACTAAATTCCTGTGTTGAAATCAACAGAAACTGATGGTAATTTTATTTTCTGATCAGATCACGTGGGCTGCACTGGGGATGGTGACCCCTTTCGTTGTAGAGGAAGTTCCAAGTGACGTCATGTAATGTCTTCTTGCTCCGTTCGTAAGCAAGGAAAACCAATAAACTAAATTATTGTCTTTGATGAGGGTATTTGGTCCTAAACTGCTTGATGGGTCGCCTTGACTGGCGATCGACCTACTAAGCAACGCCATTTTAGCCTATCCGGAAAAATCGTTTTAAAACGACATGTTCGCCTCTTAATTTTAACAGGACAATTATATCGGACAGATGACTTCTGGTACCCGGGTACGAATAGTGGAAGCCTTTATTTAAATAAAAAGGTCAGTCTAAAAATATCCAGCTATGGCCTCATGAAAAGATCCTGAAAAGTGCGACTCTGAAATTGCTTTAAATTTTATTTCGGAGAATCTTTTAACAAGGTTTGGTGTGTGTGTTAGTGTGTGTGTGTGGTTTTTTTTGTATGCGCGCGCGTGTGTGTGTGTGTGTGTGTGTGTGTGTGTGTGAAAACTATTTAGTTAATTTTATGCGTTAGAAATATTCTTTGAAGTGTGGTTTGGTTTGATGTGAAGATATTAACATTTTCAAAAGTTTAAAAAGAAAACATTTGCAGATTTTTAAAAATTGTTTAAGTTTTTGTGTGTGTGTGTGGTGTTGTGTTTGAACTCAAATGTAAATAAACTGTTTTAATTCAAATTCAAGAAGTTCAATCTTTTCATTTTCAACGCTTTAGTTGAACTTCTTGTCTCTCCCCCCCCCCCCCCCAACCGACACAACATTTTTCTCGCCTGTTTTTAACATCAGTTTATCATACCAGTGCAGTCAAAGATTATTTTCGCGTACTGGATGTGGGCTGTCGTTATATTACGATCATTAAATCTCCTGTGTTTTCCTTTAGAGTCAGTGAATCGAGCACATTAAATGTAAATAATATTAATATAAAATTTATTCATTTCATAATGTTGCATCTTTTTAATTATTTAAATTTAAATTATTACCATATTGTTGTACACCAAAACACGGTGATCACCCCCTCCCCCCTCCTTTTTTTTTTGTTGGGTTTTTGTTTGTTTGGCGTAACCATGGTAACCTCTGTGATCACGCGTAACCACATGTAAAAAAGAACTGAACAATAATATCGTTCTCCCTCAAAGAGGTCATGCCGGTACAGTCTGGATGACAGACGGACCAGCGTCAGTTACAATGGGCGATCTCATATTGACCCCAGACAGTGTTCACGAAATACTCAAACAACAACACAGCTTCTCACGGTTCTCGCAGCTTAAAAGGTTTATTTGATTTTTGATTTTTAAATTCAATAACTTTGTTAAAAGTCATGGACAGAATCAAAGCGGGGAATAGACCAGTCCTCCAGTCCCAGTGGACCCGGGCCCACACGGCCTGCCCGCAAGAACGCCAGAGGGCAAGGCATTATTTCAATCAACGTCATGACACAAATGGCGGTGATCGCTGATACAAGTGCATGGCTTATTATAACTAAACAAGTAATAAAATGTGATCGTTCCTAATGACGTTAAACACACACACACACGCACACACATTCGTATACACACACGTGTATGCACAACTAATAAACTAAACATCCTTCACTTAATGAAATTTTTGAAGAAAAATGTTTATGTAAAACTGAACACAATTTTGGATGATAAACATCCAAGCGCTCTTCACCACAGATACTTGGGAATCGGCCCGTTCGGGGCGAATTCTTTCTCTTAAGGCGAAGAGTGACCGATATACAAATTCGTTTGTTCCCCAAACTGTACGACTCTACCAGCTTGCCCCCCCCCCCCGGTCACAAAATCAAAATGATCACTAATTACGTCCCTTATTATGACTAAGGGAGTCCACTGATTGGCTGTTGTTTGTTTTTTTACGCTAGAGAAATAATTTAAGTTGGATGTCTCGTGTTTAAATTTGTTTTAGTTGGATAATGTTAACTTTATAAAAATTATGTACTTATTTTATGTGCTGAAAATGAATATGTACAATGCAATCACAAACATTTCCATTTATTTGGATCAATACAAAAAAAATCTTATCTTATCTTATCTTATTACTCAAACACGTGAATACCCACACTAATACGCAATCGCGTACATGTACAAACTAAAGCTCGCGCACGCAAGATTTCATACTCACCCACCCACACGCCCACGCACAGATCAAGGAAATGACTTTGCCCCACAACCATCAGGCCTGACTTCAGAAACAGGCAAAGTCTGATCGGGGAAAAAATCAGGTGTTGGTGCGACCCAATAAAAGAACCAGAGACAGGGGATAGGGGTGGCATTGAACATTTCATTATTGCTGACCGAGTAAATAAGTCACCTCCACCATACCCTGTGTTGAATAGCTCTAGATATCAACTCCTTCTCTTGGTCCGATCTCCTTTATAATGTTATCCTCTCTTGGTCTCATCTTCTTCTATTGGATCCATCTCTTTTTCTTCGCGCTCATCTCTATCCCTCGGCCTCCTTTCCTTTCTCGATCCCGTCTCTATCGATTCGTCTCACCTCCCTCTCTCGGCCCCATCTCCTTCTCTTTCGGTCTCATCTCCCTCTCTCCAGTCGGCTCAAGTTCTCGTCTTTAACTTTTGAGGAACTTCTTGACGTGCGGGTGGCTTTTGTCCAGCAGGTTGTTGCGGTCTCCCTTTGGCATGTGTGGGATCAGACCCGACAGGACAGTGAACAGGCACTGTGGAACAACAACGCGGTGTGAACAGAGTCATCAGATAATGATAAGCCGTACGGTGAAACATACACTGCCGAACAACATGTTTATGTGATATCTGCAGTTTCGTTCTTAGAGGATTCATTGGATTTTACTACTTACTGTCACTTGATTAAGTGTCATACATATTTTTTAAATTGTTAATTAATCAAGTATCGTCATCATTTTAGATATGATTAAATGCAAAACACATTCTCATATCTTTGGATAATAAACGTAAAATCAGAAACTCGTGCAAAATACACAAAAGTCTAAGAATCCTGAACAGATAATGCAACAGTCTTAATCTCCAAAGGGTATTACATACACAGTCTAGAACGCATGGAGTGATACATACACAGTGTAGAACTCATGGACAAAGTCAGACACAAGCACTGTCTACAATCTTGAGATCAGAGCATCCCAGTTTCTAAACTCAAGAATCTGATCATCCTTAATTCTTTGGATTAATGTGGAAATCAACTAACCTCTACTCCGGGAAATGTCAAGATCAACTCACGCCTCCCTCCGAGAAATGTGGAGATCAAAACACCCAAATTCCATGGAAATGTCGAGATAAACTCACGCCTCACTCCGAGAAATGTCGAGATCAAATCACCCCAACTCCGGGAAATGTCGAGATCAACTGACCCCTACTCCGGTAAATGTGAGATCAACTCACCCCATCTCCGGGAAATGTCAAGATCAACTCACCTCAACTCTGGGAAATGTCGAGATCAACTCACCCCAACACCAGGAAATGTCGAGATCTACTCACCCCAACTCCGGGAAATGTCGAGATCAACTCACCCCAACTCCAGGAAATGTCGAGATAAACTTACCACTACTCCATAAAATGTCGAGATCAACTCACCCCTACGCCAAGAAATGGTACAAACATGTTACTTGTCCAGGGTTCAACGTAGGTGCGGAAAAAGAATTTGTAGCAACCCTGGGGATAGAGATGGTTTATTTACGTCATTGAGTCAATGACGCAAGTTTCCGAGTTCTAAAAAAAAAAAGAAAAGATACACTGTATAACAAAAGTGACCGGACACTGTGACACCATGTATCAACATCAGCCCTGGGCTTCTTGGGGTGAATATCGAGGTCACCTGCCATAGGGTATTGGCATACAAGCCAAGTGTCTCATTGTTGTGACGTAATAGTGTACGATGGTAATGGACAAGACCTCGGAATTACCAGTTGCAGATTGGAATTACAATTATTTTATATCGGAGGGTAAAATTGAAATGATCTCCCTGAGGGTAAAATTGAAATGATCTCCCTGAGGGTAAAATTGAAATGATCTCCCTGAGGGTAAAATTGAAATGATCTCCCTGAGGGTAAAATTGAAATGATCTCCCTGAGGGTATAATTGAAATGATCTCCCTGAGGGTAAAATTGAAATGATCTCCCTGAGGGTAAAATTGAAATGATCTCCCTGAGGGTATAATTGAAATGGCCTTTCTCATAATAACATTGAAATGGCCTCACATGTGGTAAATTTGAAATTGCCTACTTGATTATAAAACTGAAATGGCCTACCTGATGGTAAAGTTGAAATGCCCTACCTGATGGTAAAACTGAAATGGTTTACCTGATGATGTAATGGCGCCCCATTTAATTTCATTCATCTTTTCTGGTGAATGAACTTAAGCTGACCCCAACTTCGGCTGCGTTCTTAGTAGGGCGTGATTTACTAGTTAAAGTCTCCCTTTGACCTCGGCTACAATTAAATAATATCTTTTTGTCTGTTTCATGATTCGAATTTTGTAGAATATTGTAGAATGAGCGGGAAGCGAGTACATTGCGTAGCCTTCTAGAATTATCTAAAGAAACAGGCTATATAAAGTCGAGGGATTGAACGACGGACGAGACGAATGACGGGAGTTATTTTGAACGTGTTCTATTTTTGCTAGAGAGGTTTGTTTACTGTGTGCGTGTAGATTCCTTTTCATCATTGTACATTTTTACAATATTGTATCTTCTTCGACACTGTACCGGTACAAGCCAATCATTATACTGTAAGTCAAATAAAACTTATTAATTGTAATTAGCCCTGGTTTGAGTATCGTATTCTTTGTTATTGTTTTTAATATATGGTATCGTTTTTTTGTTGTGTACTGTTTTAGAACGAGCCATAAATTTAACTAAATCAGATATTAATTTCTCCATACTGATAACAGTACGTAACAGATGGTAAAACTGAAATGGTCTACCTGATGGTAAAATTGAAATGGCTTACCCGAGAGTAAAAATGATTTTATTATGATCTCCCTGGGTATGATATGAAACAGAATATTATAGTTTACCTGAAGTTGACAACCTGATTACCTGAACACTATTCACTATTCCAATGAAATGGAAAGACTTACATCTGTGTTCAAGAGCGTCTTGTTGGCCGTCTCCGCACAGTAGACAACGTTGTAAAACCTTTCTTTCACATCGTTCGACATGAAGACTTTATCCTTGCAGCACGCAGGCGGGATCTGAGAACGCGGGAACATTTGACGCACAGCGGAAGAAAATCAGCAGCTCAAACGTGAGTCCGCGGAAACTTAAACAAGACAGAAGTAGTGGATAAAAAAAACAACAACAAAAAAAACAACCCACACACAATGGGTCAAGGCAGGGTTTCCCAACCTCGCATCAACGGGGTGCGATTGGTGCATTTCTGGTACTTAATAGACCACTGGATGACGCTCTCAATCCTTTCACTCCCCTGGGTCGTTCTGCCCGTTCCTTATTCTACAAAACACGCCTGCTTTTCGTTCACACAAGGTTCTTACGCCAGCCACTCTTTCACATTCACGCCTGGAAAAAATTGGGGGGGGGGGGAAACCCCCCTACCCCCCCACAAAAAAAAAAACCAACAAAAAAAAACCAACAACAACAGCAAACAAACAAACAAAAACAACAGTCGCGAAACAAACAATCGGTGAAGACACGAAAAGAACACATGGGTGGGAACAACGGACAAGGAACTGTGGGAAAGAAAACCTGATACGCCGTCCGTTCCAATAAAACCCGCCCATTGACACAAAGTATCGCTGCATGGAATCTGTCTCTTGTCGGATTATGAAGACTGAAGGAATGCTGGGGTCGATGGTCGTTTGGTCATTTATCATTTAGGAAATGCACAAATTTACTTTGGAAACAAACAAAAAACAAACTCGAACACTGGCGATACACAAGGTAGCACTACCATAAAACGACCGTTGTACGTGACATTGGCGTAGGGTATCGAGAAATCTTTCGGTAGCCATCCTGGCAATTTGAGGGCATCGTTCGGGTTGACTCCTGCTTTCACGGACACCTCTAGGTTGGACGTATTGAAATCACCCGGGCCGATCACTCCACAACAGTGGCCCTTGGAGATGAAAATAGAGAGCTGGACACATGGCTGAACATAATTATGAATGGAGGTATAGGTAGTTAGTAAAGATGTGGGGGTGGGGGGTTGGGTGGGTAGTGGGTAGGTGAGTGGGTCGTTTTCGCGGCCACAAAATGGATCCCCATTACTTGTCGAATGGGGAATTGGGGTCCCTCGTGTCTGGGGTACTGGGACACTCTGTATAGGGGATTTGAGCCCGTCATGTCTGGGGGGGGGTGGACGGGGGACTGGGCGCCTCCTCTTGTCTGTGAGATTGCGGCCCGTCTTGTATAGAGGACTGAGGCCCCTCTTGTATAAGGGACTGAGGCACCTCTTTCTGTAGGACCAAATAAACACTAGCTTGTAGGAGACTAAGATGAAATGTCTAGTTGACTCATCCTAGATCTATAGATCATTTACTGTAAGTCCATCATCCTAGATCTATAGATCATTTACTGTAAGTCCATCATCCTAGATCTATAGATCATTTACTGTAAGTCCATCATCCTAGATCTATAGATCATTTACTGTAAGTCCATCATCCTAGATCTATAGATCATTTACTGTAAGTCCATCATCCTAGATCTATAGATCATTTACTGTAAGTCCATCATAATAGATCTATAGATCATTTACTGTAAGTCCATCATCCTAGATCTATAGATCATTTACTGTAAGTCCATCATCCTAGATCTATGGTTCTCTTATTGCAATCCCTCGTCCTAAAAAGGTATTGTTCCTTGTACTATCGGTCTATCAGAATTGTAGTCTGTGGAGAACGCTTCTTCTCGATGCTACTCAACGGTTCAACTATAGCTACTTAACGGTAAAACTATAGCTACTTAATGTTAGAACTATAGCTACTTAATGTTAGAACTATAGCTACTTAATGTTAGAACTATAGCTACTTAACGGTACAACTATAGCGACTTAACGGTAAAACTATAGCTACTTAATGTTAGAACTATAGCTACTTAATGTTAGAACTATAGCTACTTAACGGTAAAACTATAGCTACTTAATGTTAGAACTATAGCTACTTAACGGTACAACAATAGCTACTTAATGTTAGAACTATAGCTACTTAATGTTAGAACTATAGCTACTTAACGGTAAAACTATAGCTACTTAATGTTAGAACTATAGCTACTTAACGGTACAACAATAGCTACTTAACAATACAACCATAACAACTTGTTGATACAACCATAGCTACTGAACGGTACAACTATAGCTACTTAACGGTACAACTTTAGCTACTTAACGGTACAACTATAGCTACTTAACGGTACAACAATAGCTACTTAACAATACAACCATAACAACTTGTTGATACAACCATAGCTACTGAACGGTACAACTATAGCTACTTAACGGTACAACTTTAACTTCTTAACAGTACAACTATAGCTACTTAACGATGCATTTATAGCTGTTTAACGGTACTACTATAGCAAGAAATAAAGCCCCCGAGTCTCTGACAATTGTGTTACAAACAACTCACGATGATCATAAGGGCATTCATGGCTGCCACAATCTTATTTCCGGGTAAGATATGATAGTTTTTGCTGATCACTCTCCTCAGATTTTCTGTGGCAATAGTGTTGGTCTGCGAATAGAAGACAAGTCGGAATCACAATAGAAGACAAGTCTGAATAACAATAGAAAAGCAGTCTGAATCACAATAGAAGAGCAGTCTGAAACTCAATAGACTACCATTGTGAATCACAATTGAAGACCAGTCTGAATCACGATAGGAGACCAGTCTGAATCATAATATAAGGCAAGTCTGAATCACAATAGAAGACAAGTCTGAATAGCAATAGAAAAAAGTGTGAAACACAATAGACGACCAGTCTAAATCACAATAGAAGATAAGCCTGAAATCACAATAGAAGGCAGGTTTGAATCACAATAGAAAGCCAGTCTGAATCACAATAGTAGACCAGTCTGAATCACAATAGACGACCAGTCTGAATAATAATAGAAGGCAAGTCTGAATCACAATAGAAGGCAAGTCTGAATCACAATAGAAGAAAAGTCTGAATCAGAATAGAAGACCAGTCTGAATCACAATAGAAAACCAGTCTGAATCACAATAGAAGGGAAGTCTGAATCACAATTGAAGACCAGTCTCTGAATCACAATAGAAGCCAAGTCTGAATCACAATAGAAGAAAAGTCTGAATCAGAATAGAAGACCAGTTTGAATCACAATAGAAGGCAAGTCTGAATCACAATAGAAGAAAAGTCGGAATCACAATAGAAGACCAGTCTGAATCACAATAGAAGACTAGTCTGAATAACAATAGAAGACAAGTCTGAATCGCAACAGAAGTCAAGTCTCAATCACACTACAAGAAATATTTTTTAACAACAATAGAAGAAATATTAAATATTTTTAATCACAACACAAGACTATTATAATCACAAAGTACAGTATAAATTGTCTTTCTTTAAAATAAGTTTGTGATTTTCCCGCCCCCTTGAAGACAATCTCTTTTAAATTCAAAACGCTCGTTATCCTTGAGATATTGTCCAACAATATGGTGTCGAAACATTGACGTCAATCAAAGTTTGGCGGGTCCTGGCGTTACCCCGTACGAAATAATACATATAGTTAAAGTGTTGGTTTTACACATAAAATTATCTCTTCTTCGCAATCTAAAGTTCTATCTGATTTACATCTTAAATTAATAATATTCTAAGTAATTTGTATTCTGTTACTTTATTGTTTCTATTGAAACAGAATACAAATTATGCAACTGGAAAAAGTCCTTCATTAAAAAATATAAAAAATACATAGTTAATTTCGACAGACGCAATTTTTCCTTAATAGGAAAATTGCGTCGGTCGAAAAAAAAAATTCCGAAACAAAACGAAAATCATCTTTGACCAATAAAAAAAAAACTATGCTAAGAAAAAAAAGGATAAGGAAAAAAAGAAGGCTAAACCTGACTTGCTTCCATTAATCAGCATCCATATAAGAGTAGTCTCTTTATCAAATTATTTTACTTATACTTTCTGTGTTTCTGATGCACCCACCCCATGTTTGTTACGCCGCTGACTGATAAGACTTAACATGCTTACTCACCCCATCAACAACGGATTTCACAATGGTGTAAGAGGCGGCAAAGGTCAAGATGGACACTGACCCGATGAAGATCAGCTTTAACACAAAACAAAAAAAGAGCAACAAAGTTTATTAATAGCTATTTATAGTTTAAAATCTTCTGAATTTGTACGCTACTTTTGAGTACTTTTATGTGATATTACATTTTTTTTTGGGTCTAGTGTATCTTTTCCAAGGGCTATCATCAACATCACCATCCTGCGACATCCTCAGTGGGGGCATATGTTGTCAAGGATCTCACTAGATTTACTCCAGTTAGTCGCCACTCTCTCAATGTGCCTCCAAGGTATTCTCACAACTCAATGAGCCTCAAAAATATTCCCACTGTTCAATATGCCAACAATATATTCCCACCACTCACTGTCCCTCCAAGATATGCCCACCACTCACTGTCCCTCCAAGATACGCCCACCACTCACTGTCCCTCCAAGATATGCCCACCACTCACTGTCCCTCCAATATATTCCCACCACTCACTGTCCCTCCAAGATATTCCCACCACTCACTGTCCCTCCAAGATATGCCCACCACCTAATGCTTTCTAGTGGGATCCGTTCTCCGTGTATTCTTTGGTCAAAAACGCCCTCTCGAACACTCCCCAACAAGTTGCTGGGAATGCATGTAAAGACACTACTCACCAACACGCTACTGGCCAAGTATGTAAAGACACTACTCACCAACACGTTACTGGCTAGGTATGTAAAGACATCACTCCCCAAACTGTTACTGGCCAGGTATGTAAAGACACCACTCCCCAACCTGTTACTGCCCAGGTATGTAAAGACACCACTCCCCAACCCGTTACTGGCCAGGTATGTAAATACACTACTCCCCAACCTGTTACTGGCCAGGTATGTAAAGACACAACTCCCCAACCTGTTACTGGCCAGGTATGTAAAGACACCAATCCCCAACCTGTTACTAGCCAGGTATGTAATGAAACCACTCCCCAACCTGTTACTGGCCAGGTATGTAAAGAGAGCACTCACCACCAGCGAGTAGGAGACTTGTGGCATGCAGATGAAACCAGCCCCGACAATGGCCAGAACCAGCGGGATGATAAATAAAAGGAGGAGACTGTCTTTAAAACTGCCAAACATCTCGCTCGGCATCAGATCGTCTGCACCACACAGAAACACAGGTAATACATAGTTAATATCAGTTTAAGACTCGCTCATGAGTGTCGGGACCCATGGTTTGGGCCTTTAGGAAAAAAAAAAAGGAAAAAAAAGTGTGTGTGGGGGGGGGGAGTCTGAATACTTCAAGTGAATGTCTGACAACTCTTTCTCACTAGCTCATATATGGCACCTCTCTTCCTCTCTCTATCTCACTCTCTCTCTCTCTCTCTCCCTCCCTCCCTCTCTCTCTCCCTCTCTCTCTCTCTCCCTCTCTCTCAATCTCTAAATACCTTTCCTCCGTGTCTAATAGACTCTTGCTCCCTTTATATCTCTACAACAGGCCTGCACAACACAACATGTAAGGTGAGCCGTAGCACTTTTTTTAATAACTTGTGTGGGCCGTAGTACTTTATGAATAACTTGTGTGGGCCGTAGTACTTTATGAATAACTTCTGTGAGCCGTAATACTTTATGAATAACTTGTGCGGGCCGTAGTACTTTATGAATAACTTGTGTGAGCCGTAATACTTGATGAATAGCTTGTGTGGGCCGTAGTACTTTATGAATAACTTCTGTGAGCCGTAATACTTTATGAATAACTTGTGCGGGCCGTAGTACTTTATGAATAACTTGTGTGAGCCGTAATACTTGATGAATAGCTTGTGTGGGCCGTAGTACTTTATGAATAACTTGTGTGGACCGTAATACTTTATAAATAACTTGTGTGAGCCGTAATACTTTATGAATAACTTGTGTGGGCCGTAGTACTTTATGAAAAACTTGTGCGGGCCAAAAGATGATAGGACATGGGGGAAAGCTATTAAGAGAATAATAATCAGGAATATTTCGTTACTTCGTGGGTCGCCAAGTGGGTGCTGACGGTGGCCCGCCGGCCGAATGCTGTGCAGGCCTATGCTCTCTAACTCTGTTATCACCCTTTAAGTCACCTCTAGGCTCTCTCTATCTCTTGACATTTCTATGTCTGTCTCTCACTAGTCCACAGTTCACACGTGATGGATTGTGTGAAAATCATATTGGAGATGAAAACTCAGAACGGCCAGAATTGTGTTTCCAAGGTTACTGTCACTGGTCAGATGAGTCTTGACGAGGGAGAAAAGTTGGAAAATCTGCCGTCCCACATTATAGGTCAAGTTAAATGTCCGTATTACAATAGGAAGATGGCCCTATACATATGAATTCGCGAAGTGGAGGAAACTGGGATCTGATACATTTTCTACTAGTGAAACGTTGTGGACCTCAAGATAAGATCACAGATTGTTCTTTACAAAGTTCGAACAGTACACATCAACCTGATCGATTTTCAACCACGTTATACCCACGTTATACCCATTCTATTATATGAAGTATTGTGCGATAAGGTTCATTTCGGGTGAGGTTGGATTTTTGGATCAAGCCATATATCAAACATGATCATGGATTGAAGGGATTGAGTCACGAGATTCGCATGATGGAGTTTCAAGAGGCAACACACTATAACACACTAAAAGATGCTTGGTGTGAAGAAATGATGGGGCCTAGAAAAAGGGCATCTAAGAATTACGCGTCTGACATAGGGCCTCCAGTGGCGTATCTACACTGTTTGGCGTCAGTGGAAAAGACTCATTTTGACGCCCCCCCCCTTCCAACTCTGAAACCGGTTATTTTCATCCAATTAATTCAATCAAAGCCCATTTTTGCCCCCCCCTCCCCCCCAAACCGAATCTTTCATATTATAAAACTTTTATTGTTGTCTGTCCCTCACCATTCGTCCTTCACCCTTTCGCAGATGACCTCTGTCGTAATCTAACACACAACTTCACATTAAAATGTTAATAATTTAATATAAAAACTACCCCCCCTCCCAAACACACACTTTTTTAAAAACATTCCATCAACACGATCCACACCACAATATGAGCCAACCTAATTAACCCCCAACCTAATTAACCCCCCAACCTACCCTCAAAGAGATCCACACCACAATATGAGGCAACCTAAGTGACAGCAAAGCTAATTAACCCCCAACCTACCATCAACAAGATGCACACGACACTACGAGGCAACCTAAGTGACAGCCAACCTAATTTAATTAATTACCCCCCCCCCCAACCTACCATTAAAGCGAGCCACACCACGATATGAGCCAACCTAATGAACCCCCAACCAATTAGCCCCCAACCTACCATCAACAAGAGCCATACCACGAAATGAGCCAACCTAATGAACCCCCTCCCAAAAAAAAAAACAAAAAAACAAAACAAAAACACAACTGAAGTGCGCCCCCCCACCCCCACAGGGGGGGGGATTTCTGAAAGAAACACTGCTTCCTCTCTCTTTATCTGGTTTTGTTGAAATGTTCTTTTATAAGCACACATGAATTTTTTTTTTTCTTTTCACAGGCGGCCTCACCCTTACCGCTGAAGTCAAACCAGACTGGGACCAGCTCCGACGGTTTACGCCTCCCTGTAGCCACGAGGTTCTTGACGGTCTCACCGATGTCATTGAAGTGACTCATGCCCTTGTACGACCAGATGGTGGCTAGAACCTAGCAGGGAGAAAGAGATCAACTAAGACTTTATAACCGGTTCTGTTTTGTGGGAAGGCCAAAGCCAGAACTATGGATTAATCAGACAATACTGGCGTAGTGTATCGGAACGTATCCGGAAATTTGTAAGAAAATTGGTCGACGGAATTTTGGTCGAAACGTATCGAAAACCTACCACTGGGAACCCCGAAACAAGTAGTTGCATTCCATAATATATCATCTATTATATAATTTAAATATCAACTATTTGTACACATCATTAGTCATAATACTGTACCTATTAAAGGGGCCGTCCATAAAGTACGTCACGCTAATTTTTGACGTTTTTTTTTACCCCCTCCCTCCCCACTGTTACAATTAATCACAAATCTCAGAACCGCCTCCCCCCCCCCCAACTTTTTTTTTTAAATTAAAAAA